ATATATATATATATATATATATACACACACACACACACACACACACACACACATAGTAAAACTTCCCAAAACAGAACATTTTTTTCAAGAACAGAATAAACCCTTTAACTTTTAGCTATTTGAAAGCTAGACCTGCCATTTTCTTACCAAAATAATAAATTATTTGCAAAAATTACCTTTTCTTACTGGCTTTATCATCACCTATTTCTTTCAGTTACTTGTTATTCAATTACCTGGACATGTATTAAATCATCAAGAAATTAATGTTGCTTTTTTTAGATGAAAAAAACCCGAACAACTTATATATCAAAACAAAACATTTATTAAATGAAATAGTCTCCATCCTTATTCTCATTTTTGGGTAACTTTCAAGCTTCATCAGTTAATTGGGCTGTGGTTGTTGGTTGATTCATCTTGCCTAAATGTTTGAGAATGTTCTTCTCATCTACTACTACTACCTGAGTGTGGGACTTCATAATCGTCTTTGATACTACTACTATCACCTTATTGGTGGACTACAGGAAAACATTACTGTAACCTCATCTGTTGCTGAAAGCCTAGTCATCATTACCTCATCTACTACTACTACCACCTGAGTGTGGGACTTCATAATCATCTTTGATACTACTACTATCACCTTATTGGTGGACTACAGGAAAACATTACTGTAACCTCAGCTGTTTCTGAAAGCCTACTCATCATTACCTCATCTACTACTACTACCACCTGAATGTGGGACTTCATAATCTTCTTTGATACTACTACTATCACATGTATGGTGGACTACAGGAAAACATTACTGTAACCTCATCTGTTGCTGAAAGCCTAGTCATCATTACCTCATCTACTACTTCTACCACCTGAATGTGGGACTTCATAATCTTCTTTGATACTACTACTATCACCTGTATGGTGAAAGCCTAGTCATCATTACCAAAGTTTTGCAGTTAGTCCTAATATAGTGGTATCCATCCTTGTGTTTTGTTTTACTTGTTTCAAGATGAAGAGTACCATAAGGGCAAGATATTAAAACAAGTTGGTTTCATCTTACACTCAGGCTTTTCGTTGTTCTGTTGTTCATTGGGATCACAACAGACATTCACATTTCATATTTTTGTTACATTTGGAAAGCTTGCTAATCACACTCTTTATAATGTTTTTGTTTTGGTGCATTTTGATAAAATTTTCAATGCAAATGTTTGACATGTAGTTAGTGACATCCTTGTAAGCCAGTATCTTAAATAAAGATTACATACTACAATGATTTTTCTGAAGTTTTATACTTTTTTGACCTTTTGATCATACTCTTTCAAAGGGTGGTAAAGAAACTTGTACAAGTTACTATGATTTGGGGCTTATCTCCCCAGAATATGAACAACAGTAATAATTATTGGAATAGGCAACCACACTAGGACTTTTGTCTGACTTGGAAGCATGATATCTTTATGACTTTTGATTCTTTATATACAGACTTCTGACCTACTTCAGTAGCGAGAAAGATCTTAATAATAAATACTGGAGAATTCTAGTATTGGAAAAAGACTGGTGATCTGCAGTGTGAGTTGTATAAATAACGATTTTTTTTGTATATACACTTGTGTTTATTTGCTATTCTTTTGCTGTACATGTTGGAAGTTATTTTCAATATATTTCCTAAACCTGCTATATTGCAGATACTTAAATCTTTCTGTTGGACACCACTGTACCTGAATATTGCATTGTGAGCTTGTCAGTCAAAAAAATATTCTAAAAATTCTGATGCAGACAGTTAAGTTTAGAAATGATTTTGGCTCTACATTTACTGCATGAGAACCCTTAATATTGCTTGTAATATTAAGGATCTAGGTACCTTTGTTCTATGTGAGCCATTGACCTGTTTTCCAGGAGATATCTTTCATTTCCCATTGCTCTGATATTTGTGTTCATACAGATTTCAGTTAGTTGCTTATTTTGCACTCAAGATGAGGAGATGGAAATCTGAATGTTGATGTTACCACCCACACACTCTGTTATTGATGAAAATGTTCCATACAACTGTTTATACAAACCTATGTTTTACTTGATTCTGTTTTCATAAATACCTTTCATCCTGCAATTAATTAATAAATGAAAACTATATTTTCCAAAGTTATAATTCCACTTTATGATGTATTAAAAGTAGATTTGTAAGGCATACACAATTTCCATTATTACTCTGTCATTTAGTCTATTTTAAGTTTATCACTTATAATGTGACAACTTAAAAAACTGCCAACATTGCTCTAATAAAGAAAAACAAGTATACCTAAAAACTATTTTTTAAAGTTGAATCTTAAACAAAGCATAGTATCTCTAACTCCTATCCTCTCCATACATTTCCCAATTGATATAACTATTTCCTTGTTTCAGAATATGCACCATGCCAATTTATATTCACATCTTCCAAGTTATTTCTTTTCTCAAAAGTGTGTTGTCTGAAATGCAAATTTATTCTAAACTTGTACAAAATCCACTTAATTGCTTTCAAATAATGTTCAAGAATAAAACAACAAAGATACAAGCGCTCACTTTATTTTTTTCTGGATTTCTCATTGATTTCACTACTAAAATGAAATTCCTACCTAACATGCTAGATGTGCATAACAAATTAACACCACCGCAAAGAGCTGTAATTGTATTAAATAAAGCACATCCAACATCTTGCAGTGATGTGCTATAGACTTTTGGAGTAATTAGAGGTCTTTTAAAACTATATCTGATTGTTATGTGAAGCAAGTAAAAAGGTGGCAAGAAAGGTTCTGGGTCATTTCTTAAAATGTTTTCTGTAAGTTGTTGCACATGATTATCAAGAACAGTTACGCACGTCTAGCAGGAGTTCACAATCCTGTCTGAAGTATAACAATACTAATTTTTCTATTAAAGCACACTTCAAGGACTGTAACGTTCGCTCACATTCCTTATTCTATCTCAAGTGCGGCTCTGCTTTAATAAGGGTCGATAAAGGTAAGGATAATTTTGGAGATGTTGGCCACAAACCACTAGTAATACAACATAAAACCAAGAAAACTGCGAAGTTTTAATTTGGTCAGTTGCAACCAGTCTCACACCATTGCTATTTTAGTAACTTCCATGAAGATGCTTCTCTACCCACAATATTCCCAAAAAATACCACTTCCAAGTTTCAGTTTAAGCTTGCCTTTTTTTTTTTGAATTACTGGATTAACATTTTCAAGCTCTCAACCACAAACTCAAATATGCGACAAAACATCAGACAGTTCTCCCATTGAAACCCACTTCAGTGCAAGTTTCATCAATCTCTCGAAAGTGACGGACGTGTTATACGGGCCAAACGACATAACATAAAACTCGCACAAGCCATCTTTTATTCTAAAAGCAGACTTAAGTCTGCTCCCGTCATCCAGTTCAACTTGCCATTATCTGGATGCCAGCTCTAACATAATGAATTTGTGGTGTCTCTTCCATTTATCTGTTTGCGGTGACGGAAAGGCGTCAGTGCGAGTTCCATATTCACCCATCTAAAATAAATGTAGAACCTGGGCAACTAGCGCTACCAATGTGACCAGTCATTCTCCTTACAAAATAAATAGGGCTTTAACCTCTAGATTTCGCCTGAACTACCACTGTCGACATCCTAGCGCAACATGCAATATTGAGTAATATTCCTTAAGAAGAGCAGATATTATCTCCACTAAAAAATAAACGAACAAAAGCAGCAAGGACAAAATGAACTTAATGGCTTTCTCGGCCACGTATGATATGAAACGTGCATACATCCAGAATAAATGATAAATTCAGAATAAATACTACAGTATTATAAGAAGATAGAAATGCATAACTATCTTCCAAGAAGTCCATACAGAAACACATGCACGCTAAATTGAGACTTAAAGACAAATGTTGCAATATGAATAGCCTTTACTTGAAAAAAAAAGATTAACACGTTTATAAACTAAATATATCTGTTCAACACGTATGTGATGAGCTACATGCAGAAATTGTATAAAATTTTAGCAAAACCTTACGTGAATAAACCTAACTATTAAGGGGAAATTTTGTGATTATTTCAGTATAAGTCGTACTCAGGTTGAGGACGACAGAAAGAATTGTACAGCTTACTATTGGCTGGGGTTATTTTTCTTACATGTGTATAATAGTAATGGCCAGTGGCTTAGGAAATCTAAGATAGTAAAATCTCAAGTTAGTGTGTTTTTTTCAATTATTCTTGCTCAAGTTCTCATCTCTATCCAGCTACAGCAATCAACTACATTATTAATCGTAAATGACAACCACCTTACAAATTACATCAGCATGGTATTCTCAGTAAAAGTTTTTGTTCTGGTTATCCAATTTCGTATTAAAATTTTGCTGTCCATGTTTGTTCAATTTATTATTTGCAAAACATTTTCTGTATTTACCATGTATTACACATACTCATTATTTACGTGTAGGGTATCAGGGTACCTGAATACCACACTCTGAAACTGAAACGTCTTTCTATCAATAAAAGCTCATGAAATATCTAGAAAAGTGCGTACTATAAAACAAAGCATTTTCTTAGTACTTGGGCTTCATAAATGTACGCCCATCTACTTTCTACACTGAAATACTCATGTCTAATTTATTGATGAAATATTATACATATTGAGGTAATCTTAAGATTAAACCTAACACACAGTATTCCATTTCTGCAAAAATAGAGGTTCGATAACTTAAAACGTAAAATAATTGATGTAGTTATTTTTTCACACATCTATTGAAAGTGACAAGATATGCGTTGAAGTAAAGATATGCTACAAAATATTTTATTTAAAACGAAAACAGGAGATATGCTGATCAAAACAATGGTGAACTATTGCATTGTGAAATAAGGAAAATTAGGGTTAAATAAACTGCGTTTGAGGTAAAAGTATATTAAAACAACTTAATATTAAAATGCATGAAGTTAAAATTAAGTACAGCAGGTATAAAATGTCATTTTAGAACAAGGACTAGACTTTGTCAGCGACTCTAGCGCTTTCATTTAAACTGCTCTCCCCAGAGTTTCAAATCAGCATTTGGTGAAAAAAGTGTCAAAAACTCCATTCACAGTACACATTCTTTCTAATTAAATTATTAGTAGTAGTACAAATGATATGCTGTTTTAATATCTTAACATATTCAAGTAGTTTCTAATCGAGACATATATGTTTAAGATTTTAAATAGTTCTAAAATACCCTGTATTTACATAAATTATTCAAATCTTTGTTTGTTTGTTTTGGAATTTTGCTCAAAGCTGCTCGAGACTATCTGTGCTAGCCGTCCCTAATTTAGGAATGATAAACTAGAGGGAAGTCAACTTTTGAACTACTCTTTTTACCAACGAAAAGGGAGATTGGCTGTAACATTCTAACGTAAACACGGTCGATAGGTCAAGCGTGTTTGGTAACGGGATTCGAGCTAGCGACCCGAAGTCTGTGAGTCGAGTTCCCTAACCACCAAACCATTATCCAAATCCTCACAATACACATCTGCGTGGTATTTTTAGCTGCATATGTTTCTAAATTTCATAATTTCCTTAAAACTCTATGTGGTTGAACCAATTGTGCTTAATCTATGTGGTATATAGACAATTAATGTTACTTTTGAAAAAAAGAGAAAAATGTGGCTGAGTAGAATCGTACATTACAGAATTAAAAATTGAATTTGTATGCTCTTTTCTTGTTATTAAGCGTGCTATGCCTACCACGGGTATTGAAGTCCTGTTTTTAGCGTTATATGCCTTCAAATATACCGCTGAAAAACTGAAACCACAAGTTATTTATATTATCTTAGTTTCTTCAAGTCGAAAAAGGGTAATATTGTATAACTGTTTTATCGGAGCTCATTGAGACTAAATTTCATCTCCAAGTTAGCTCGAATCATCTTGGAAAATATAAGCTTTAAAAATCATATTATTGTATTTTTTTTTAATATGTTATCATTAATATAAATCTTGAATACACGTTCGGAAAACTTTGCTCTATACGCAAGCATGTCCTTTTAATTAAGTTAATTTTGTTTTGACGTAACGATTTGTGAAAATGTACCGAAACGCCGTAGAGGTCACTGGTTGTAGCGGGAAAAGTTTTATTTTGAAATGTGTTGAGTGTTAAACTTCGATCAGTAATACATTTATAGTAGTATATAGTATCAGTAATGTTAAGTTGAAAGGGATAAAAAGTTTTAAGAATATTTTTTTTTGTCTCTGATTCCGTTTTCGACTCTTTGTTTAACTAGGGTAACTGTGAATTGTTTGTGTTATGCCTTATGAGTTATAATAATTAACATGATTGCCTTGCCCTTAGTGCATCATTATTCATTTTATTGGACATTAAAATTAAATTAATAATAATTATCTAGCACTGTCGCTTACTAGTATTATTTATTAAATACGATTACTACAGTAATACTAGTAACATCAGATTAAATTTGTCTCCTTTGAACTTCTCTGAAGTCCTCATCTTCAGCTTACCGCTCCTGCTAGCCTATTAAGTATTAATAATAATAATATCAGTAATACTAACTTAGCTATTAGTATTTGTGCGTCGGAGCAGGTCTGGCAGACCGGACAGCAGCCGGACCAACATTTTGTCACAGTAACTGTAGGGTTTTTTTAAACTTTAACTTGCACTTCAAAATTTTTTTCTAAAAAAACAGATAGGCTTATGGTAGTATATATGAATCAGTATAACAATGCATAATAAATTACATGTGTAATCCGCAGGTGTACATGCTTGCGCCTGCTTATAGTTATAACTATGGTGAGTATAAGTGTCAGTGAGCATCTATTTATGTAAATCATAAAGAAGTGCTTGCAAATGATTAATACTTTCAAAAAATTATAGTAGAATTAGCACAAAATTCAATATCAGAGTACCTATTTTTCAAAATTTATCTTTGAGGGCATACCCCTAGCACTAGCATGCTTTGCACACTATTCTGAGTTGCTTGATCAATTCAGAATTGCTTCCTCCACTCTTGTAGTATGTATTGTATTATAATTATATACCTGTTACAATAATAAAAACAACTGTGACAGTACTGTATACTTATTTTTATTAACAAAATTTTAGATATACTTAAAACTTCAAGGATTTAAGTGACAGTGAATGTGAGAAACATAGTTTAAGTCTTGGTTTAAAATTAAAAGTAGAGGATTTAAACAGTTTGTGTTTGCATGCATGTAACTTGTAAGCTGAAATCTCATGTAGTTGTGGCTGAAAATTTGGTAATGGTGTTGATACAGATCATTCGTTGTTTTATGTTTTGCTCTTGTATTAAGTTTGTGCCTTGTTTGTATTGCAGTGTTATTGTCTATCTTTATCTGGTCATTACACATTAGGCCAAGTAAAAAAAAAGTTTAGTGTTCAGAGTTTTCGAAATATGGAAGGAGGAGGTCCTTTTTCTTTTTTAAATGACCCCTTTGAAAGAAAGTTTGCACCCCTTCATAATATTTTCATTTCTTGTTTTCAAAGAGTCCATGTCAAATGGAAGTCTTTGTTTTATTTTCTCATCAAAATGATACAGAATTTATGACAAATAAAGAAAAATGGCAAGATGAATTAACTGTTTATCTCATTTTGTATTCAGAACTCTTCTTTGTTTCTTTGTATGATCGAAAAATGATAATTCAAAAAAAGGAAAAAATTGCCCCCCACCCAAATAAAGAGGGGGAAGCAGCTGCACTAAAGGAAGTGGGCAGGGATATTAAACATTTTTTTTTTTATTTGACTTAAACAACCAAAAATTAAAATATTAGCCAAATGTTTATGTGATCATGTGAAAATGAAAGGTGTGGTAATGTGAAAACAATAGTTTAGCACAACTAAAAACTTTCACAAACACTATAGGTTTTGATTAATTATCAGTTAAATATTCGTGTCACTTTGTTACTTATCTTTTTTTAAGTGAAAATAGTTGACAATATGGTTGATTCTAGATTGTGAGGTTTTAACTATAACTTTTAATACTCAAATCTCGGCTATCAACACTGTCATTTCATAATTGACAGTTATTCATAGATACTTGTTTCTTGTCCTCTGACCATTCTGGACCAGTGTATTGCAAAAGTTACAATGCTTGAGATTATAGTTGCTGATGCTTAACTTGTGCTTTGAAACACATACTTTATTTATGAGGCATAATTTTATATCTTTTTTTTTTTGTAGTGTTAATGTTAGTTTGTGAACATAATAAGTTAATCTCAGATGTATGTTCTTAATATTAAAACCTAACAAAAGTTGAAATGTTTTCTTGTCCATCTCTTTTTATTGGATATTAAAAACTATTTTATAGATCTATTCTTGTAACTGTTTACTTTTTAATACTATTTTAGATCAAACTTACAAATTTTTGCATCTGTAATATTTTGCAAATACTTTGCTATAATTTCAAAATTAAGATCCCCTGGTGTCAGATTTATCTTTAAACATCTGCATCATAACACTTCTATATAAAATAAGTTCAAATAATTGAATTTTAACTTCATAAATCATCCAGCTAGTCATTCTACATAAGCAGCCCAATGTCCAGAATATATTTTGCAATTAAATCAAACCTGAATTTATTTCAGTATGAAAATGATTGAAATTAAGAAAGAAGACTCACTGTCAATAAAAGACATTTTAGAGGTTTGTATGGCATTAGTTGTCTAAATGTTTTAAATTTGAAATATTATTTAAAATATTTCAAGTGTTGCCATACTTATTGATGTGTAGTAAGATTTACATTACCTTCAGCATGTAAGCTACTAAAATGTTTTTAAATATCAAGAAAATTGTGCTGAAAAATACACTTTTTGTTTGAATTAATCATGTTTTTTATTTGATAACATATTTTGTATGATTTTGATAATTTTTATTGTACTTTTTTTATTTTAACAATATATGTTTTAACATTTTGAAATGTTCTCATTATAATAACAACTAATATGCTTAGGTAAAGAATGTAAATCAATCGTTTGTACATATAGTTATTGGTTACATGTCCATTTTTTTAATATGTTTAAGAAACTTCTTCAGCTTTTTGCATTTCTGAATGGAATCATCACAGTTCACGATGTATACACTTATTTCTGCCAAGTAAGCTATATGTAATTTGCAATAAGCAGCAGATTTAGGAAATATTTTGCAAAGAATGAATTGAATATAAAGAGAAAACGAAAAAGACTTAAACACAAGTGCAAAACAGATATATAATGTTGTGCTGGGGTTTTACTCTTATTAGCTAGCTTCCAAATTCATTATATAACTGCAGTTAGATGCTAGAGCATGTAGGAAGCACATCTACAGAATATGGAGACTGGAGAATGAACAATCACATATTGCATTATTAAGTCTTGTTTATTAATTTAAACATATACATTTAATAGATTACAGGTTTGCTTGTGGAAATTTTAATTTTACTGGTCAAAGTGGCAGATGTGCTACCAAGTTCATTATATACTATTTTAAAGGGATACACACTTTAAAAAATGTGATATTCCCATGCTCTTAGCACAACACTGAATTCATGATCATATTATTGATAGTCAAGGAAGATAAACTCCTAGCTTATACTAACCTGTACAAATTTGTGTACCACCTTTAATCTAAAGTACAACATGCACCCAAGGAGAGCAAAGATACAGAAACAGGGTGAAGCATATATAAACGTTTACTGAATAGTTATTGTGATATGTAACCTTTGTCTAAGATAAAGGATTAGAAAAAGTTTATTACCTTACACAAATTGTTTATGCTGACATCTATTAATAAAATGCATATTTTTTTAAAAAATTGCCTTAAAATATATATAATCTTTTATTAGTTGTGAAAGGGTAGAATGTAGCAGTTTTTCACCTGCAACACTGATAGTGTTTCAGAAAAAAGTTCATACATGTTGTAAATGAATTAGTGTTTCAATATTGTAAATTCTAAGAAACCTTTTAACATATATTTAAATTTTAAATGAGTTTTTGTTTACATCGTCCTTGTGTCTTTTTGTTTAGAAATATGAAATGGAAATATCAGATCTCAAGTCACCACTTCTATCACTTTTAAATTTGCCAACAGGAAATTCCATTGTTCTGCAGGGAAAAATAAAGGTGAAGGAAATAATCACACATATTTGAAGTTAAAGCTGACTGTTTGAAGTAATTAATATTTAAATAAAACAAGTATTTGAATTAGAGACGGAT